TCAGAATCTGATTTTTTTGCTTCTCTCTCTTCATCTGAAAGAAGATTTCAGCCCCACTTTAATTTCACATGTTTCCAGAATACTAGCAGTAGAGCAGAGGGTCTACTCTGACAAGTCTAGCTCTGACAAGATACGTATCATTCGAATAACAAACCGGTGCAATGAAGTACCTAATGAACAATCAATGTTGCTTGCTATGGAGACAGTTTTTTAAAATAACCAACCCCTTACTATGTGAATATCATTTTTTATTAGGTAATTTAGATATTTTTACATCGTTAATTTTGCATAGCAGATTGTCGTTGCTAGTTGTTGATATGATGCAGCATTGGCACTTTTAATTAAGACAAATAAAAGAACACACCTTTCCTTTTCCTGATCCATAACATTTTGTTTATTATTAAACTTTGTAGTTCGGATTCTTTTATTTGAATATATTGGGATGACGCTGGTTAACAAAATTGTACAGGTTTCAGGTGCATAGTTCTTCAACACATCGTCTGTACACTGTGTTGTGTGTTTTACCATCCCAAGTCATGTCTCTGCCCATTACCATTTATCCTTCACCAACCCTACCCTCCTTCCATCAGTCACCACAACTGTTGTATCAATAACTTGATTTCTTTTTCTTCTTTTTGCTCAATTCGCCCCAGACCTTGCCCCGACAGCTGTCAGCCTGCTATCTATAAGACTGTCTCTGTTTTGCATGTTAGTTCATTAGATTCCACATATGAGTGAAATCATATGGTACTTGTCTTTCTCTGACTGGCGTATTTCACTTAGTATAATATTCTCCAGGTGCATTATGCTGTCCCAAAGCTAAGATTATCTTCTTCACATCTGAGTAGCGTACCATTGTGTAACTGTGCCACAGCGTTTTTTATCCACTCGTCTACTAATGGGCATTTGGGCTGCTTCCAAATCTTGGCTATTGTAAATAACACTGCCATGAACATAGCATGTACGTGTATTCTTTTGAATTAGTGTTTCGGGTTTCTTTGGATAAATTCCCCGAAGTGGGATTGCTGGGTCATAAGGCAGTTCCATTTCTAGTTTTGTGAAGTAATGCCTTACTGCTTTCCACAGTGGTTGCACCAGTCTGCTGCATTCCTACCAACAGTGCATGAGTGTTCTCTTTTCTCTACTTCCTTGCCAGCACTTGCTGTTTGTTGATTTATCGATGATGGCTATTCTGAGAGGTGTGAGGTGATAATCTTATTGTGGTTTTAATTTGCATTCCTCTGCACATCTTTTCATTTGTTGGCTGTCTGTATGTCCTCTTTGTGGAGAAGTGTCTATTCAGGTCCTTTTCCCATTTTTAAATTGGATTTATTTATTTATTTTTTGGCGTTGAGTTTTGTAAGTTCTTTATAAATACTGGATATTAACCCCTTATTAGATGTATCATTGGCGAATATGTACCCCCATTGAGTGGGTTGTATTTTCAATTTGTTGATGGTTTCTTTGCTGTGCAGAAACTTTAGTTTAATGTAGTCCCATTTGTTTCTTTTTCCTTTTGTTTCCATTGCCCAAGGAGATATGAGTCTATGAGAAAAAATACAGTTCTGAGAAATGTCCAAGATTTTATTGCCTATGATTTCTTCTAGGATTCTTATGGTTTCAAGTTTTACACTTAAGTCTTTAATCGATTTTGAGTTTGTTCCCTTGTATGGTGTAAGAAAGTGGTGGGGGTTCTTTTTTGCACGTAATTGTTCTGTATTCCTGACACCATTTATTGAATAGGATATCTTTACCCCATTGTATGCTTTTGTATCCTTCGTCAAATATTAATTGACCCTAAAGGCATGGGTTTATTTCTGGGCTCTCTGTTCTGTTTCATTGATTTCTATGTTTTTTTTTTTTTATGCTAATACCGTACTGTCTTTATTACTGTGGCCTTGAAGTATAGCTTGATATCAGGTAGCATGATTTATTATTATTAATATTGCAAGTTAAATCAGTTAAATACTCAAATGATTTCTGGATATATTTTTTGTGTTCTGTTACTTTACTGAATTCATTTATCAGTTCTAGTAGTTTTTTGGTGGACTCTCTAGGGTTCTCTAGATACAGTATCATGTCATCTGGAAATAATGATATATTTATTTCTTACTTTACAATTTGGATGTCTTTTATTTCTTCTTCTTCTTCTTTGATTGTATAGCCAGAACTTCCAGCACTATATTGAGTTAGAGTGGTGAAAGTGGGCATCCCCGTCATGTTCCTCATCTTAAGGGGAACACTTGTAGTTTTTGCCATTGAGGATGATGTTGACTGTGAGTTTGTCATATATGGGCTTTATTATGCTGAGTTGTATTCCCTCTATTCCCAGTTTGGTGGGGGTTTTTATCATACATGGGTGCTGGATTTTATCAAAAACTCTTTTTCCATTTATTGATATAATCATGTGTTTTTTATCCTACTTTTTATTTATGTGGCATATCACATTTCTTGATTTGAAGATATAGTACCAACCTTGTATATCTGTAATAAATCCTGCTTGATGATGATGTATGATTTTTGGGTTTTTTTTTTTAAGATTTTACTATTTATTTTTGTACAGAGTGGGGAAGAGAGGGAGAAAGGGGGAGAAACAGCCATGCATGTGAGAAACATCCGATTGGTTGCTTCTCGCACATGCCCCAACCGGGGACTGAACCTGCAGCCCAGGCGTGTATCCTCACTAAGAATCGAACAGGCGACCTTTTGCTTTGTGAGACAATGCTGTACCAATTGAGCTACGCCAGTCAGGGTGGTGTATGATCTTTTTAATGTATTGCTGGATTTGATTTACTAATATTTTGTTGAGGATTTTAGCATCTATGTTTATTTTATCAGGGATAGTGGCGTATAATTTTCTTTCTTTTCAGTGTCTTTATGGGATTTTGGAATTAGAATAGTGCCTGCTTAGTAAAATCAGCTTTGGGAGTATTCCCTCCTCTTGGATTTTTGGAATAGTTTGAGAAGGGTAGGTAAAATGTTGGGTAAAAATTTACCTATGAAGCCATTCTGTTCAGGACTTTTGTTTGTTGGGAGCTTTTTGATTACTGCCTCAGTTTCACTAGTTGTTATCTATTCAGATTCTCTGATTCTTCCTGATTAAGTTTGGAAAGATTGTGTATTTCTAAGAATTTATCCATTTTGTCCAGATTGTCCAATTCGTTGGCACATAGTTGTTTGTAATATTTTCTTATAAATCTTTGTATTTTTCCTGAGCCAGTTTTTACTTCAAATTATTTTTTAGTAGGCTGTAACTTGCAAATACATGCCTTTGTTATTTTCAAAAATATTGCAATACAAACAAAATAATGTCTTATAGGACTTAAGAAAAATGGCCTGTCATATGCAAATGTACTGTTACTTTGTTAAATGTGAAATTATAAACTTTGTAGTATGTAATTTGCAGTCTAACAAATTTTAAAAAGTAGTCTGCCTTTCAGACTATCTCAAGCATTTAAATTTTTAGTGTGTACTAGTTGATTCGTTGTGGTCGTGACTTTTATTGGTTCTTGATTTTTTCAAATTGCTTCCTATAGAACTTGTTGAATAAGGATTGTTTGGGAATTTGGTCTTGCTGTTTTGTAAAACTTAGTCTATAGGCCATAGTAATTATAAAAAATCACCAAGTTTTTCTGTATATTTTTAGTTGCTAACATTTTAATCCAACTTCATAGTGTTCTGTTTAAAATTAATGTGGAATGTAATAGATTTGGGGTTTAGTTAGAGAAATGTAACGTGATGGTTATATTATTAGAAAAGCCATTATTAAATTGAAAATTCACAACAATCAAACTAGTATTGAATCAAAATAGCATTTGGATTTAATATAGAGACTCTGAATTTGTTATAAACAGCAATTTCAATGAAACAGATAGTGTTATATATCACAGTGATTTCCAGTAAACTGAAGTATGTTTAGATTGATGCCTAGTCAGGTTAATGTTTAATTGATTGTGTTTATTCAAGTTATCAGACATGCATAAATATTGTTTCATGGGTTCTCATGCAGTAATTCCAGATTGCCAGATATAAGTATATCTGTAGATACATCCTGAAGTTACTGTCCCATTTTTTCATGCTTATTATATCACAGGTCTAAGTATTTCCATGCTTATTATAAATAGATATGAAAATACCAATTCACCATAAATTATTTTGTCTGTATTTTGTTTTAAGTTGTTGGTATAAGTAAGTATTTTGAAGTAAATTACGCAAGTTTTTAAATATCTCTCATGTATGACTGAAATGGACTTTTTTCCCTTGCTTCTTGTTTAGGTTATAAGCCACTTCAAGTCTTTGCAAATAAATCATGTATCTTTGCAAACTAATAGTAGATCTATGAGAGAAGTTGTCTTATGATAAGTAACAAATTACTGTGAAAATTAACTTAGTAGCACATCAGAAATTTATCATCTCATAATATCATTCCTATGGGTCAGGAATTTAGGAACAGGTAACATAGTTCATCTCTTCCTCATTGATTTGGATGCCACCATTATAAAATCTAGATTCCTTTATGTTTGGGTTCATTCCTTGACTTTTCTGTTGTTAAAATATATTGAGTGGTGTATTTTTAGGTTTCTCTTTATTACTCCTTTTCATTACTTTTTATACACTCCTTTTCAGTGTTTTTCGGGCTATTTATCTAGTTTGGTGGAGAAAAAGCCTTTTGTGTTTTTATCAGACCATACCAATTATATTAGTTTCTGATATTTTGAAATTTTTACTTTGTTATAATTTCTCTTTTTAATAATAATAAAGCCTACTGAATTTTTAATTCATATAGATTTGGAAGGATACCAAATGATAACAACATGTATCATGTAAAGTATATTAATATAAAGGAGAATTTATATTTCTTTATTGCCCTCTACAACAGGTGGCTTTTACATATATTAACTCATAAAACTACTTATTATGTTAAGTCATTTTGTAACTGGAGTTTTAGAGTGGGCAATTATTTATTGCTAAATTTCCTTCAAATTGTGTTTTTTCTTTAGCTGTGACGCAGATCCATCAGCCTTAGCAAAGTATGTTCTTGCTTTGGTGAAAAAAGACAAAAGTGAAAAAGAGTTAAAGGCATTATGTATTGATCAACTGGATGTATTTCTTCAAAAAGGTAAGATCTTTGGTTCAAAAATACTACTTTATTTTAATAAGTTATTTAAAATAAGATTATCTAGCTCTTCCTGAAAGAAGCCTGAGGTAACCTCTGAAAATGGTCTGCTCTTCACTTGACCCACAGAAAACCTCACAAAATCATGCAAATCAAGAGGTTCAGATCTTTGTGCTCACTTTAAGAACACTTGTGAAACTGCCCAGGCCGTCGAAGGTGTGCATATCCAAAAAGCCACCAAATAGCTGAAGATACCACTTTATAGAAGCAATGTGCCCCATTCTGTCATTACAATAGTGGACTTGGTAGGCGTGCCCAGGTCAAACAGTGGGGCTCGACATAGGGTAGGTAGTCCAAAGAGTGCTGCATTTTTGCTGCAAATGCTTAAAAATACAGAGATTAATGCTGAACTTAAGGGCTTAGGTGTAGCTCTTTGGTTATTGATCACATCCAGGTGAACAACGCTCCCAAGATGTGACACAGAATTTACAGATTTCATGGGCAGATTAACCCATCCATGAGCTCTCCCTGCCATGCTGAGATGGTCCTTACAGAAAAAGAGCAGATTGCTCCTAAACCAGAAGAGGAAGTTGCACAGAAGAAGAAGATATTCCAGAAGAAACTAAAAGTTATGGCCCAGGAATAAATTCATCATGAAATAAATAGTAATTGAAGTGAAAATAAAAAAATAAAAAGATTATCCACAGTATTAGAGGAACTCAGTAAGAGACAGGCTTTAATTGTAATGAAGTTGAACAAACAGTATTATTGCCAGTTATATTTATAGCTTATTTATAAAGAAAACCTTGTCATTACCGTTCTTATTCCGTTAAACCATGCTAATGTTTATTTCTTTAAAGATTAAGGAAAATGATCGAATGCTTGTTTATTTAAAGATCTTGCTCCTTAGGAAACTACTTTGAATGTTGTCTAGCACAGTGCTTTTTCACTAGCCAGCATTTAGATGATGGTAATATTTGTATTTGCAGACGGCGTAGGGTACATGGAAACTAGTCATGGCTGGAAGCAACTGGTCCAGAAGGTCTGGCCATTCCTGTCCCCATCACTCTGAAAATTGAATGGATCAGTATTAGCATGGGACTTGTGCCATGGCTCACTGGTTAGGAAGCTTTTAAGTGGAGAATAATATCTTAGCAAATGTCTCTTAATATGTGGGGTTTTTGTTTATTTGTTTTATTTTTAGAGACTCAGATATTTGTGGAAAAACTTTTTGATGCTGTGAATACAAAGAGTTATCTACCTCCCCCAGAGCAGCCATCGTCAGGAAGCTTAAAGGTAGAATTTTTTCAGCACCAAGAAAAAGATATAAAAAAAGAAGAGGTAAGGATTTGTGTTAAACATTACATTTTCTTTAACAACATATAAGGGATAATTAAACTGAGTTGTATTTTCAGTATCTGTGTCAGGAGTGTTTAATACTGTCCACAGGCTCAGTGCTTTCACTAGGAGCACTCACAGGACTCAGTATATAGTCAATCTCACAGTTATGGTTTCTTTTTTTAAAATTTATTACTATTATTATTTTTTAATTTTTTATTTATTGCACTTTGGAGAGAGAGAGGAACATTGATCTGTTGTTCCATCCACTTATATATTCATTGGTTGATTCTTGTATGTGCCCTGACTAGGGATCAGACTCACAACCTTTGTATATCTGGGTGACGCTCTAACTAGCTGAGCTACCTGGCCAGAGCCACAGTTATGACTTCCTGCAGTAAAAAGATACAAAGCAAAATCAGCAAAGGGAAAAAAGCGTGTGGTATAAAGTCTGGAGGGAAACAGGTGCAAGTTTCCAGGGTCTCCCAGTGAAGTCACACAGTGCCTGAGGAATAGTGACAATGTGTGTTAACCAGGCAAGCTTGTTTAAAGTTCAGTACCCAGTGTTTTTATTTAGGTCTGGCCACATAAGTACTTTCTGCCTAGTATGTTCCTTCTGCCTAGTATGTTCTAGATTCCCATGAGGAAAGCCGGTTTTCACCATAAACCATACTGTCTGCACAAACGATGCAGACGTAAGTGAGCTATAATTATCAGGGAATGACAGGAATCCTCCAGAAATAAAAGTTCGCAGGTGCCAGCTAAGGATCTACTTTGCAAGCAGGCCTTTCTTTGCAGTATCTTATAGCTGTGGACTCTTATGATCTCTGTTCTATGAAAATAATTGGCAGTAGATCTGTTTACTTCTGTTCCACAAGCATTTTGTAGGGAACTATTTTTAAGGTAGTCAAATAAAACAGCCTTTACCACAATGGAAATGACCTCATACGTTAAGAGGTTTTGAAGTACTTACTTTTTGTACAAGATTGCTCTTCTTGTTTAATAACCATATAATTCCAAATCCCTTCAATTTGATATTTAAATATTCCAGCAAAATAATGTGCAATAAACTGTTATATTTCTGCAGTTAGCTTAGTTTTAGTCCAATCCTGGTTAAAAGTTTGGCTTTACCAATCACTGCTTTTTGACCTTGAAAACATTACTTTTTCAAGCCTTAGTTTACTCAGCTGTGATACGGAAGTATTACAGGGTTGTTGTGAGGAGTTAAATAATGTCTGCAAAGTACCTGGTATATTATGCGACACATTGTAGGTTTCTCGGTAAATGGTAATCGTTACTAGTATTGAGAGATCGTTGTGTGGTGAAAGATGTGGGTGTGATGTTTGGTTCTTTTTACCCCTCATAAATCATTTTCCCCCCCAGAGTATAACTCTTGCATGTTTATAAAGCAATAATATGTATATCATGCATGTATAACATTACATAATAATTCTTAACTATAATTTTATTCCTTTATACCTAAACATTTATACACAAGTATATGTACATAGTTGCACAGACACATACATAAAACACCCCCATTATTTCTCTCTGCAGGGGAAGTAATTTTTAACTGCTTATTTTATACCAAACAGTGTAGGGATTCTGTAAGTAAAGTAGAATAGTGGATATTATGCCGGCAACTACTTATGATATATGGAGATATACAATTTATTTAAGTTTTGTCCATTGATGGAAGTTTGGGTTGGGTCCTGATTTTTGCTATTACAAAGTGTGTTTTAATGCTTTGGTTTTTTGTTTTTTTTCTATTTAGAGAGAGAGGGGAAGGTGGGGGCAGAGAGACAAACATTAATTTGTTGTTCCACTTATTTATGCATTCATTGGTTGATTCTTGAATGCTCTGATTGGGGATTGTACCTGCAACCTTGGCATGTCAGGACAACGCTCTAACCAACTGAGCTACCTGGCCAGGGCAATTTCTTAAAAAAGTCTTTAGTAAATCATGGGTTCTTGGTTTGAAAAACACTAAGAAATCTTCCCCCAAAACTAAGTTATTGGCAAAGTCTTAGTTTTACATCTATTTATGTAATAATATTTCAGCACAGTTTTTTATTTTTTAACCAATTGTTATGGATATTTATCCTTGATCTTTCAGAACTGTCAAAATGTCAGATGGCAGTCTAGATTAAAAATGCTGTGGTTGTAGCAAAAGTTCCCAGTTGAGCATGTACTGTGGAATATGATAGTCTGTCAACATAAATTACTTGCAAGTGTGCATTGAGGCAAATAGGAAAAAGTGCCTGAGGAGGGTTTTATTTGTACCCAGTATTTTTGGATGTGGGGGAGGTCAAAGTTGCTGTCAAGAGAACAAAAGTATTTATAAGAAAAAAAGGCAGACTCTTAAAATATGGTTTTTAAGCAGTGTCAGAGTTTGATCTGTTGCTAGGATTTCCATTTAATTTATCATCCAAGGTGGAACACTTTTTATAGTGAGAGGCTCTTACCTAGAGGGGTGCCGGAACAACTGGCATAAACTGGAATATGTTTATATCATCTGTAGATTACCTACATCAGAATATCTTAGGGTTGTATTAAAAATACAAATCTTGAGCCCTATCACATTTCCAGAAGACACAATTTCAATATTTTCTGAATTTATCCTCTAAATCCTTTTCTAGTAACACCTATTAATGTCTTATGGAAACAGTATTCTGGGCAGTACTACATGGAATATTCTGGCCTTGACAAAGTAGCATTGAACAAAGGAATGTTTTCCAGGGCTGCTTTCTATTAATTATATAATGCCAGTGTAGGCCTTATGTAGGAAAGAGAAATATGTAGCTGCCACACTAACATGAGAAACTGAAGAACTATTTTATATATTGTTTTCTCAAATATTCTCTTTTTTTATGACTTGGTTAGTGCTAATGCATTCTCCTATATTCCTTTATTTGTTCGGTCCCAAACCAAATCCATGAAACCAAAACACGAATGTGTGTTGGACTTTGAAAAGAAGGAATAAAGTTGGGTTTTCACTAATAATGTTAAAATGGGGACACTTGTTTAAAATGTTTTCTCACCACTAAATGTACCTAAGATAATCATGTATGAGTTTTCTTTAGATTTACTTTAACTTTCAGCATGCCTGTCTTTAGTGGTTAAACTAAATTACATAATTAGAAGAGAAATTTGTTTGGATGCTTTTAGAGGATGACAATTTTGCTTTTATATTTTAATATCAGTTAAGCCATTGAAATGGTAACATGGCAAAGAATAACTGTTGCTAAAGTTCTACACATTTTTTTGTATATCAGATCATAAAGGAGGAAGAGCGAGAGAAGAAGTTTTCCAGAAGGCTAAATCACAGTCCTCCACAGTCAAGCTCTCGATACAGAGAAAATAGGTGATTAATTCATTGAACCATGTTTGGTGATTAGACATTGGTTATCTTTTATACAAATGTTTAGACTGATTATCTTTTACACAGGGGCAAGTAATGTCTATTCTTTTATTAGTCTGCAAAAGTGTAACTCAGTCTTTTTTCTATCAAGAATATCTAGGTAAGATTTGAAGGTCCTGGAAGTGATTAAAACAGCTCGGCATTTATTAGTTATTGTTATTATTTTTATTCTTCACTTCAAATTCCAGTGAAATCTTAATGAGACCTTTTTTTGCCTAAAGTTTCCCTTTAATATTAATACATTATTATTTGTTGTTAGGGCTTCAAAGGCATTTAGAATACAGTGAATGTGATACATGCCTGTGAAAAAAGATGTAAGTGTACGTATGTACAAGTATATGTCTACAAGACAGTTTGTACTATAAGACATATATGTAGATGCCTTTATATATAAGACTGAGTTTTTCTTTTGAAGGAGTTTTAGAGTATTTAAGGAGATCACGTTCAGTTTTTTAGTTGTCTGAGTTTCCATGTTTATATTCTGATGGTGTGATAAGGAATCACGATGTTACAAGAATTAAATTACTTGTGCATTTAATTAGAGTTTTTCTTGTGCCTTCTAAAAAATTATTTACATGGAAGTGATTTATTTTTCTAGAAGTCGTGATGAGAGGAAAAAAGATGATCGTTCTCGCAAAAGAGATTATGATCGAAACCCTCCTCGAAGAGATTCCTACAGAGACCGGTACAATAGACGGCGAGGGAGAAGTCGCAGTTACAGCAGGAGTCGGAGTCGAAGTTGGAGTAAAGAGAGACTACGTGACAGAGACAGGGATAGAAGCAGGACTAGAAGCAGAAGCAGAACACGAAGCAGGGGTAAATCATATATGTGTATATTTTGGTTGGAATTGTTTTATTGGGAAAATACTTCTTTTAATTTTGTCAGTGTTGTGATCATTTTTTCTATTTTGATTTGGCCCAGGTGCTTTTCAAAATCTTCTTTTAAAATTTTTATTTCATGCACATTAAAAGCACAACGAATTACCACTGCACATCCATCAGCATGACTAGCATTAAAAAGACTGACTGACTTTATCCAGTATTGGTGAGGGTAGAGATAAACTGAAACTCTTTGGAAAATACTTTACAGTATATTAAAAATGTAAAACCTACACCTACCAAATGATCCAGCCATTCCAGTCCTAGGTGTTTACCTCAGAGCAGTGAAAGTGTACTTCTGCGCAAAGACCTGTGTACAAATGATCATGGCAGCTTCATTTGTAATAGCCAAAAATTAGAAACAATCTAAATGTCCATCAACAAGTGAGTGGGTAAACAAACTGTGGTATACCCCTAAAATGGATTAAAAAAAAGAATTATTGATACAACAAAATGGATGACTCTTAGAATAATTATGCTGAGTGAAAGAAGTCAGACAGAAAAGAATATATACGTACAGAATTTTGGAAAATGCAAACTAATCTATGATGACAGAAAATAAATCAGTGGTTGCCTAAGATGGATTATCAAGAAGCACAATGATACTTTTGGGCGTGATGAGTATGTGTATTATATGTACATTATTTTGATTGTGGTGTTTGGTTTCACAGGTGCACACATATATCAGAATTCATTAAATTGTATACTTTAAATATTTTCAGTTAATTACCTATCAATTACACTTCAAATCTGTGAAAACAGTTAAAAGTTTTCATTTCAGATGTCTGTATTTGCAAGACGATGTCATTCCCAACAAGTATAATTTTCCTTGCAATGTTTATTATTGAAAGGAAGATACTATAGCCAATAAAACAACGAACACCTTTGCGTAAAACACTTTTATTCAATCTTAGATTTTAGCTACCCTTGTAACCTTTATTGTATAGCCATCTGTAGTCTAGGAAATGATTTTATAGCCTTTGTATAAGCCTTGTACTTCTCTATTATTCTTCTTTTGAAGAATTTTCCCCCATGATCTATATGTACTAGGCCTCTCTGCACATTGTTTCACTTAACGAATCTCCTTAATGCCTTTTCTCTTTCCTTGGGACTGTATACAGCCCCATTAATTTCTTTGTTCATGTTTAATATGAACTACTTTTTCTTCCTCTGCGCATCTAGTCACATCATCAAATAGTGTTCACTGTAAAAAGGCACACTGGTATTTTTAGATGGATGACAGTTAAATATTAATTTCAGAAAAAATAACCCTAGTTTTATTTTATTGCATATTTTCTTTTGTGGGCTGAAGTTATGCATATTAAGATTGCAGTGAAGAAAACTTTAAAATCATTTTTCTGTAAACAGAACTTCAAGAACAAACTCATTAAATACAGCAACTTTATGTGTGGTTTTATAGTTTAGGTCATATTGAACAGAGATAGCTTATTTTGGAACATGGTGTATTCATTGTTAGTTTTTAAAAGGGAAGGAGGGTTATTTAAAATTTGGGCATTTTCACTATCAAAAAATGTTACTTTTTCTTAAATCTGGGGCATTTTTTTTTTAAATATAGTTTTATAGGTCATTTATATTTTGTTGCAGAAAGGGATCTGGTAAAACCAAAATATGATCTGGATAGAACAGATCCACTGGAAAACAACTATACTCCAGTTTCTTCGGTACCTAATATTTCATCTGGTCACTACCCTGTACCTACTTTGAGCAGCACTATAACAGTAATTGCTCCTACACATCATGGTAATAACACTACCGAAAGTTGGTCTGAATTTCATGAAGATCAAGTGGACCATAACTCGTATGTCAGACCACCAATGCCAAAGAAACGGTGTAGAGACTATGATGGTAAGTCTTTGACCTGTTTCATAAAGTATTGAATTAATATCTCCAGCTGACTAATCTCTGCAAGTTTAGGTAGCCCATAATTATTCAAAGACTTAACCTGTTGGAAATGGTGGGAAACTAATCATAAGTATCCATGAATTCCTCAATATAATTGAAAACTACATTAGTTAGTTACCACTCACTATTGAATATCAATTTAAAGATATTGTTTATTTGCATGTAAGTCTTAATATATTTTTGGAATTTACCAAGCAAGAGTAATACTTATAGAGTTACTCGTGAAGGAATCTGCTACTGAAACATTTTCGACAAAACTCACTTCTTTAAAAATGAATGGTTATTGGCATGTAGGTAGAACCTAGAAATGTGATATTACCTATTTAAGAATTTTATAAATGAAGACTCTTAAGGTTTTACTGTAAAAGTTTTATAAATTATATGAAAGCTATAGTTGCAGTATTCTTAAAAGTTTTAAGTGAGATTTAAGTACAGGGAGTGTTTCTAATGACTAATATACGAGGTCTGTCCAAGAAGGTATCCAGCCATGTGATACAAAAAATAGAGACATTTATTGAAGATACAAGATACAAGAAGCATTGTATATAGGACAATGATGCCACAGACCCCTTCAAAGTAGGCACCTCACATAGTTCCTCCCAATAGCCGTCAGCTGCCCCGTTGTATTTTCTGAATCTCATTGACAGTCTGAAATATCCTCCCTTTCAAAGGTAATTTTAGTTTTGGGAAAAGCCAGAAGTCACAGGGTGCCAAATCTGGGCTGTAGGGGGGTTGAGCTACCTGGGTGGTTAGATGTTTCACCAAAAATTCTGCATGAGACCTGATGCTTGAGTGGGCATGTTGTCGTGGTGAAGCTGCCAGTTACCATTTACCCATAGCTGAGGCCTTCTGAATCATCCAGATAGTTTCTGCAGAGGAATGTTCAAGCTTAATGCAAAGTTTTATGCAGATTCGTTGCTCTACTTGCTCAGTCATTTTCAATGGGACAGCCACACAATGCATATGCTCGCTCAGTGGCGTCTACTGCCTCCACTGACTAGTACAGTGAAGTTGTTCTTGTTCACATGTGTGCATTTTAGTATGCTCTCCTTGGCTGCCTGGTTACATCATGTCATGCACACCATCTCATTATATTAACAATGGCTGGACTTTTTGTGGACAGGCCTTGTATATATTATACCATCTTGCTAGCAAGGTATACTCACCTGAATTTCTTGATATGTTTTTTAGTGTATGTGTTACCTATATTATCACTTGACAGGTATTTGTAAATTACTGGAATTAGTAATTAGCTCTTATGATTAATTATACTTGTCCAATATTTAAAATATTCCTATTTTTAAATATCTTACTTTTGTTAACTTAGAGAAAATTTATATGTCCAGCACTTTTCATATTTCTACTTTTTCCTCCTAGAAAAGGGTTTCTGTATGAGAGGAGACATGTGCCCTTTTGATCATGGAAGTGACCCAGTAGTTGTAGAAGATGTGAATCTGCCCGGTATGCTGCCTTTCCCAGCACAGCCTCCTGTTGTTGAAGGACCACCTCCTCCTGGACTCCCCCCACCTCCACCAATTCTTACACCCCCACCTGTGAATTTGAGACCCCCAGTGCCACCACCAGGCCCATTACCTCCCAGTCTACCACCTGTCACAGGTACTTAAATGTGTTTGTTTGCCAGTATTTATTATATGCCTATTCATAGACTTTTAAAAAAATTAAGAGCTTGATGCTTGCTTTTATTAAAAGTATCTATCAAGTAATTTTGTAGATGCAGGAAATCAAGAGCAAGATATTCCCATTTAGAATATACCCCTACTTTGCTTGGTTATGCCAAACCTATGGATTACTGTAGTATAGAGTGGCCCTGAATTATGTATATCCCTGATAAATCCCAGCTGCCTCTGGTCCTTTATAGCTTAAGAGAAATCTATTTTGGAAAACATTAAAAGGATATTTACCCTAGAAACATAATATAAGAGCTTGGTGTTTATAGATATTATAGTTTGATGAATGAGAATGTCATGTTTGAATATACAAATAACTTATTTTATTTGTTTGCTTTCAGATGATATTTCTTATTCTTTGGTTTTGACAGGACCACCACCTCCACTTCCTCCTTTGCAGCCATCTGGCATGGATGCTCCCCCAAATTCTGCAACCAGTTCTGTTCCTGCTGTAGTAACAACTGGCATTCATCACCAGCCTCCTCCTGCTCCACCCTCCCTTTTTACTGCAGGTGCAGTTTTGGCTCTCTCTATGTTCATGATGTAATACAGTTTTAGAGCATAGTTATTTGAGGAATTATTAAATATTTAGAGAGTGAATTGCTCTAGTAGGTCTGTTTTTCTCACTAAAATGATACAGTAAAAATGTAGACATGGTTAATGTACATTAAATTATGATTTTTTAAAAAAACTAAGTTATATTTTTAAATTTTATAAAACTTAAATTTTCTTTTTAAAACATGAAATGTGTTAGCTTTGTATTAGTAATATATAGTTTATTTTATTGTCAATATAGGAAAATTATGAAATGAAGTTTTATAATTGTTTTTTAATTACAGTTTTTGTATTACCAGATACATATGACACAGATGGCTATAATCCTGAGGCCCCAAGCATAACAAACACTTCCAGACCTATGTATAGGCACAGAGTGCATGCGCAAAGGCCCAACTTGATAGGACTGACATCAGGAGATATGGATTTGCCACCCAGAGGTACTATGATTAATCTTTTAAAGTAATTTTCATATCAAGAGTGACAGAACATTTATAAAGACCAAAAGATTCTGTATTTACAGGGGTTGAGTAGAAAATGATGTTTATCTTTGGTCTCCCATGAGAGAAAATGTAATGTATTTCCAAGGGAAAGGGAACTTTACAGAAGAACATATTTTCTAAGGTAGACATTGTTGAGTATTTTCTATCATTTGCAGCCTAATAGGTTCCTTTAAACTCTTGAGAGTAATGCTTTAATTCTCGAAGATACCAGCCTTTCATAGTTTATAATGAAATTAGCTCTACAAACTTGTGCTTGATGTGTATTTTATTTTTGTTTACTTTAGATGTTAGAATTTGAAATAGGTTTGCTTATAATATTTTAAGCAGATGGAATTATGTTTTAGGAAATGAGTGTGTGACTTTTGGTTGTAGCTTCATCCCATACTCCAAAAGGTTGCAGGTTCGATTCTTGGGTAGGGCACATACCTAGGTTGCGGGATTGATCTTCCTGGTTGGGGTGCGTCTGGGAGGCAACCGATGTCCGTCCGTCTCTCTCTCTGTCTCTTTTCTTTCCTCTCTTTCTAAGGTCAGTCTCTCTCTCCTCTCTCAGTCCTCTTGGGTGAGGATTTAAAAAGATTTTTTTTCCTCGGGATATAGAGGATACAGACTTTTTGATAACATTTCTGTTTGGGAAAGATACTGTTTAGACTGATAGAGTCACAAGCTGAGGCAGCGAAACTGCTATCCTAGAGGTGCAAATGGATATGAAAATTCAGAGGAGGGAGAGAGTTTACATTAATTTGAAAAATGGAGCTTTTGCTATAGAAAATATGTGGTATAGAGAATTGGGGGATTGTTAGGCATATTAGAAAATATTATATATGCCAACAAAAATCTCTTTATTCCTATTTCAACTAATTTTTAAATTCCATTTTTTTCCAGTTAAAAAAGTCATGCCTCATCAGTCATGACTAAAAGTCCACCTAATTAAATAAGTAACAGTAATAACTAACTGGTTTAGTAAACTTGTGATTATTTATACTTTGAATTTTTTTATTCTGTTGTGACTTAGAATGGGGGTAATGGAGAAGGCGAGATTAAAGACACAGGTTTCTGCTCTGGAAATTGGGCAGATGAAAATATTCATTGAGAGGGAGAACAGATTCGGTTGGCAGATAAATTTAGTTTTGCAAGTGTTTAATTTGTTGTGTGCCTGGTACAGTTGAGTAGAAATGTCCTGTGGAGATAGAATCTGGAAACCTGATGTCTAGAAGAGATAGCTGGCTGGAAAATACAGATTTTGGAATCATTGAGCATGTAGAACAGTCATTTCTTCAGAGTCACTGGTAATAGCAGGAAATAAAGAAATGTGGAAGGAGGCATACCCAAGTCTGCAAACCTGACTGACATAGGTTCCAAAAGTCTTTCTCATGTGTTTCTGATACTACCCCCTTCCTCCTTGAAAATCACTAAATTGGTGAATGAAGCCTTGGCAGTAGATAAGATGTCTTAGGGAGGTTGTAGAATGAGACTAGAAGGCCCAAATAAATAATCTGGAGAATGCCTACATTGAAGCAGGAGACAAAGGTAGGTAGCTTACATAAGGCACTGAGAAAAATGAAGCCAAAAAGGCACAGTCAAAAGCAGGGAGTGTGGAGTCATGAAAATCAAGGGGAGAAAATAAGGAGTGGAAGGTGATCAACAGCATTAAATACTCTTGAGGTCAAGTAAGAGAAGGACTGGGATGTGTTCATAAGCTTAAGCAACAGGTGAGAATAGTGATTTTAGCAAGAACAAGGTAAGTGCAATAATGGCAGCAGCTGCCAGTTTTCGAGAATTAGTGAATGCTTGGGTTGTAAGGAGGAAAACTTAGCAAGTGTAAGACATCTCTTAGGAAAGAGCTGTTGTGGTAAGGAGAGAAAGAAGGCTGTACCTGGAGGGTAAACTGATCCTAAGAAGGTTCTTTTTAAAAATGGAGTAATGTTGTCCTGGCTGGTGTGGCTCAGTTGGTTGGAGCATTGTCATATAACTGAAAGGTTGCATGTTTGATTCATGGTTAGGACACATACCCAGCTGCCTGCAGGAGGCAACCAATCAATACTTCTCTCTTGCATCGATGTTTTTCTCTACCTTTCTCTCTCCCTTCCTTTCTTTAAAAGCAATGAAAAAAGTCCTCGGATGAGGATAAAAAAGAAAAATTGAGTAATACTGATGGGAAACAGTATGAAATTTCCTCAAGAGATTAACAGTGGAGTTGCCTTATGACCCAGTGATCCCTCTTCTGGGGATTTATCTGAAGAAAACCAAACACTTAATTCAGAAGAATATATGCACCTCTGTGTTCATTGCAGCATTATTTATAATAGCCAAGCATTGGAAGCAATGCAAGTATTCATCAAAAGACAAGTGGATAAAGAAACTGTGGTACAAATGTACAATGGACTATTACTTGGGCATAAAATAGAATGAAATCTTACCATTTGCAGCAGCTTTCATGGACCTAGAGGATATTATGCTCAGTGAAATAAGTCAGGCAGAGAAGGACAAATACTTTATGATTTCGCTTACATGTGGAACCTAAAGATCAGAATAAATGAATAAACAAAATGGAAACAGACTCAGATACAGAAAGAGAGCTGGTGGTTGCTAGAGGGGAAGGGAGGTTGGGGCACAGAGTGAAATAGGTGAAAGGACTAAGAAGCACAAATTGGTAATTAAAAGGAAGTCACAGGGAAGCAAGTAAAGCATAAGAAATATATTCAATAATATTGTGATAACTATGTATAGTGCCACTTGGGGTACTGGAAATATCGACGGGAACATTATGTAAAACGAATGATTATCTAATCACTAAGCTGTATACCTCAAACCAATACATATAAAAAGAAATGGGAATTGTCAGTTTCGAGGGAGAGGTTAAAGATGAAGGAAAAGAAAGCACCCTGGCTGTTGTTGCTCAGTGGATTGAGTGCTGACCTGTGAACCAAAGAATCACTGGTTTGATTCCCAGTCAGGGCACATGCCTGGGTTGCAGGCCAGGTCCCTAGTTAGGGGTGCATGAGAGGCAACTACACATTGATAATTCTCTCCCTCTTTTTTTCCTTCCCTTCTCCTCTCTCTAAAAATAAATAAATAAAATCTTAAAAAAAAAGATGAAGGAAAGCTGCAGGGTTCTGGAGCACTGATCTTGATAGATAACTCTCTGTATGGGATAAATCGATGGCAGGAGAATCTGGAAGCAGAAGCTCAAGACAGTAGACTAGATGAGACACTGCAAATTTGTGCTAAGGTTGTCTCAGTGGGCAATGAAAGGAAATCCGTGCAAGATGAATTGAAGGGATGTATGAGAAAAGTCAAATTAAATATGATTGAGAAAATGGTAGTTTCGTTAATTTAAATGATTAATATTTTAAAAATCCATTAAATATGAAGATAATTTGTATTTAGGATACTCATAGGATTTCCAGAAGAAGATGGCTGGAGAAAACCAAGAAGTTAGAAATTTAGGACTGGTCCTCAGAACAGAGTTCACATGTGAAAGGTTGATGTGTGATTCCCTGCATAGAGATAGTTGTAGCCATGAGAGAGATTGTGCTGAAACAGATCCAAAATTCCTTTGGTTAGTTATGTGTTTAGCAATACTAAGAACTGGATTCCTACAACCAATTTTTGTCCATCTTTTAAAAAGGAATTTTTTAATTGCCTTTTTCTGTAGGTATTAAAGTTAGCATGTCTTAAACTTTGGTGTCATCGGGGAATAACTGAATCAAACTCTACATAAATGTAAAATGTTCATAGCAGATATTCATAGCTCTTTGGCACTGCATTTCAATTTTTTACCTTTTAAAATCATGTATGCTAATTATGTTAATACTGTGTTTAAATAAGCAACTCACTTAAGTCACAACTCTTAAGTTGGTTTTTTTTTTTTTTTAAGTTTTTAATTATTTATTCGTAGAGAGAGAGGAAGCAGGGAGAAGGAGAGGGAGAGAAATATCAATTGGTTGCCTCTTGTATGTACCCCTACCAGGGACCAAACCCTCAACCCAGGCATGCCTGGGAATTGAACTGGTGTCCTTTCGTCATGCACCAACTGAGCGACACCAGCCAGGGCCTAAGTTATCAATTCTTAAAGGTCATAAGGTCATATTTGTGATTAGGTTGATAGCAAAGAAGAACAATGACATGGATTTTACCACACCCCCCATAGAAGTGGCCCACAAATCCGTATTTTAATTTCAAATGTGAGAATTACTAATTCTTTAGTTAGGTTGAAGCAAATTTGAAGTAAGTTAAAAATCCCTTTATTACTACTATATTTGAATGTACATTTATTTCTGTTTTTTCTAAAATACATATATGTGGAAAACCAGAACTTAGTTTTCAAAATATGAATTTAAGGAAGTAGTTATGATAAAAAATATTAATCTGCCTTTTCTTTTCTTTTCAAACAGAAAAGCCTCCTAATAAAAGCACTATGAGGATAGTAGTGGATTCAGAGTCAAGGAAAAGAACCATAGGTTCTGGGGAGCCTGGAGTTACCACAAAGAAGACTTGGTTTGATAAGTAAGCTGGCAGGGGAAATTGAGGACTTTTATTATGGAATAATTTGTAGAGTTGTTGGAGTATTATTATGACAGTATAGTATTCTTTTTTTAAAATAAAATATATACATATAATTTTACTCTATTGGCAATTTGCCACTAAAGTGTAAGTTGTTTTCTAAAAATTTGATAATTAGTTGTCTGGTATTTGGAAGGCACTTTCATATAGAAATGATTAGGTGGTTAAGGATACAATCTTTCCTCTTTCTACGTCCCCCCACCTTCAAAAAACATTCCTTATGCTAGAGATGTCATTGAATACTACCTATACAAAAGATCGCCATGAAATTATTATTAGGGAAGAAAGGGTGGTTCAGGTCTGGAAGAAAGTATTAGCATGAGGCAATTCCTTTTAAGATCTAAAAAGGCAGTCTTCTGGGGGGGAGTGGTGAGGGAGGCTGGATAGGCCCTGAAGTTGTCAAGGAAGATCTTCAGAGAAAGGGGTAAGAAATCAGAATGTTGGGGTGTTGATGATGATGATTCGTTTGTAAATTTCCACGTTTGAGGAAAGACTAGGGTCACACATTTTTAGAGCTTTAACATTTTGAAGTGGATAATTTCATATTGTGCCTTTGCCTTTAATTCTTTGACCTAAGGCAAGCATTTTAACCTCTCTCGGCTATAGCTTTAACCTTTTTTTTCAAGTGGTAAATGTATGGTCTGCAATCGGGAAGTCAGGACCTTTTTTTTTTTTCTTAAGTTGGGAAGTGGTTGACACAGTCATTCCTCTCTTTTAATCAATGTTTTAAAATAGGGTAAGTTTCAGTAAGCAGGTTTTTGGAGAAATGAAACAAAGGTAATATATGCAAATTGACTGAAATAGGGTGCTAGGACCTTTCCTGCTAACAATTTTAAGTAGAAGTGGATTACAAGTGCCAAGTAAAGTGATAAGGAAGAATCCTCAGTTGGCTTCCATGAAAGTTGCATACACTACTAATTTGAAGACTTGACTTTTTTTGGAAGAAAATTTCAGTTTTCATTATCAACAAATAATTTCAATTTTCAAAAGAAACAAATTGTAAAACTTTATTTCTTTGTATTTGATAAGGGTCAGGGTTAATAAATGTATGTATTAATTAACTTGATTTTTCTTACAGACCAAATTTTAATAGGACAAACAGCCCAGGATTCCAGAAAAAGGTTCAGTTTGGAAATGAAAATACCAAACTTGAACTTAGAAAAGTTCCTCCAGAATTAAATAATATCAGCAAACTTAATGAACATTTTAGTCGATTTGGAACTCTGGTTAACTTACAGGTAAGAGCTGTGAAGTGATTCTGTTTTCTTTGCTCAGGTATTTAGGGAGAAAACTTAACATAATAAGAAAAGTACTTTTATAACAAAATATTATGAAAAATTTGGTAATCTAAATTTGTTAAATTGGATACAAAATGAAACTATATTTTTAGATGTATGATTTTGAATAACTTTTATACTTTAAAAAGGCAGCATTTTTGGTTGATCATATTATATATACTTTTTTACTCAGTAGAGGTTAACATAAAATTATAGCAAAGTGAAATAATCACACTGGTAAACTCATATCTTATTGCAGTTTTCATTTCCTCAATTTCTCAAAGTCATTACAACAGAATGCTTTAGTCCGATTCTTTTTGCTGCCTCTCTGATGAGATGCATTTAACAGATGGGGCCCAAAAACAATGTAATCATAATTAGTTTAAACATTTACTTTTTCCTGTACCATTTTTGAACATTTTTCTCAAGATTAGTATCAGTGTAGTTTGTATTTGACTTCACCGAAAATTGGACCTTGGTTTGAGTGTGTGTAACTTGTGAGGTTTCTTAGTATTGAGTTTACATCATGTAATATGTTAAAAGTGTTGAAATAATGCTGGGCTTTTTTCTTTTTCAGTTTTTATGATGTTCTTTTCAATTAAAATTATTTTCCTTACCTGTTAAAAATAATAAATTTTAGAGAGTACAGCTTAACTTGATAATTTGGAAAACTGTTTCTTGCCATTTAAAAAATAATACAGAAGTAATAGATGAAAAACATGCTTGCTTGTGATAGGGCAATAGAGATTTATATAAGACTTTTTACAAAATGTTTCTGTGTCAACTCATTGTGCCCCTTACGTTCTCTTCTTATTTATCCCCATAATGTAGTTGCACCATTGTTAACAATTTACCATGTCTTATTCTAGATTTTTTTTTTTTTTTTTAATCCTCACCCAAGGACATGGTCACTGATTTTTAGAGAGATGGGAAGGGAGGGAGGGAGAGAGGGAGGGAAATACCGATATGAGAGAGAAACGATGATAGGTCGCCTCTGGTACACGCCCAGACTGGGTTCTGAACCTGCAACCTAGGTATGTGCCCTGACTGGGAATTGAACCTTCAACCTTTCGGTTTACCAGACAGCGCGGCAACCAACTGAGTCACACTGGCCAGGACTAGGTTTTTGGTTTTTAATTTCTGTATGTATGTATGTATGTATGTATTATCAATCAGCAAACTTAAAAATACATATATTTTTAAAATATATACATTACCCTATAGTTATTTGTTTTAACATTGAGTATATGTAATATTTAAAAAAATTTTTACTTACTGATTCTTATGGAGAGAGAAACATTGATTTGTTGTTCCACTTATTTATGCATTCATTTGTTGATTCTTGTGTGCCCTGACCAGACACTGAACCTGCAAATGTGGCATTTTGGGATGATGCTCTTAACCAACTGAGCTACCCAGCCAAGGCCTGAATATCTTTTTACAGCAGTTGAATTGATCTATCACATTTAGATCTAGACAAAAATTTTCTCAGAATATTTTTTTCTCACGCAATTAACTACACTGGTAATACTAAATTTAAGACATTTTTCAAAGCAGAGGGGCAAAACATGGTATCTCACTATTCAATTTACATTTCCTTAATTTGTGAAGTTGATGTTTTCTTTTCACTGGTCATTTTACTGTATCTGCATATACTTGGATTATTATTTATACAATACACGTTTTTTAAACACCAGTTTTAATAACTTTAGCCTAATAAAAAAATCAATTGATGAGTTGATTTTTTAAATCCCAATAAATGTATAATCAGTCAAAATGCTACCTAGAATCCATATCGCAAATATTTATTGAATACAGTAACAAATACTATATACCTTGTATTTATTACTTAGTAATATGGGTCTGCAGAATCATATACTCTTTGAATTGCAGTTTCCTTATATGTACAATGTGACTTTTTCCCTTAAATTTTCTTGTACTCCTGGAAATATTTTTGTGAGAATTATATATTTGAAAGATTTTACAGATGGATTTTTGGTAATTTTTAGTTAGAGATTACCCCTTTTTAAAGTAGTTAATACTGTCTTCTCCTTGCTCTAGATATTGACCAAAAGCCACTCATTGACATAGGGATTATTTCTCGTAGTCAGTACTGGGGGTAAAAAGCGAAACATTTTGAATGCTTGTTTATAACATCTGTGCAAATGAACATCCTCTATTAAGTGTCATGTAGAGGACGCTTTTGTTCCACTCTGCTGAACAGTCCTCAGTTACCCTTTCTTCTGGAGTGAAAGTAGGCTATGGTAATAATCTAGATTTAAGGAAATATAAATTTAGAATCTTACTTAGAAGAACCAGTATTTCATTTGTTGAGAAATTCTACTGTATGAAGCAACAGATTCATTTGGAAATCCACTGTTCTTAATATTTGAAATCTTAGGTTGCTTTTAATGGTGATCCTGAAGGTGCCCTTATCCAATTTGCAACTTATGAAGAAGCAAAGAAAGCAATATCAAGTACAGAAGCAGTGCTAAACAATCGCTTTATTAAGGTTTATTGGCACAGAGAAGGAAGCACCCAGCAGTTACAGACTACTTCTCCAAAAGTAAGAGAGAAACTTGTGTGAATTAAATGCTCTTCGTAGAAAGCATGGTAATTCAGAGCAGAGGCATTGCAGTCAGGTAGGCTTCCGAGCTAGACCCTGCCTCTACCACAGTTAAATGTGTAGACTTGATGAAGTCACTTAGTTTCTCTAACCTCTTCTTTCATTTTATTTTGCAATTAATTCCTAATTTAGAAGATTATAAGATGATATGTTGAAAGCGTATAGGAAAGTCCCAGGTAGATAGACATTCAGCAGATGGTAGCTTTACACATTTTACAAAGTCAGAGTATGGGTTTGTCTTGGAAATCCTTCTTTCCCTCGCTCCCTTTCTTTCAGTCAGTGAATCAGTCAGCATGTAATACTAGGTTAATTGCTTGTAGAGGTGTCTTCCAGCAATTTGTTTCCTTAATTTTCTCCTGTTTGTTTATAAAAGATAGAGAAGGGTAGATTTTAATTTTTTTTCTCTCTACAAGTTCTTACATGCAAAGAAAAACATCTTATTTGAAGAAATTTGGAAGGTGGTTAAGTTTTCATTACAAGCTGCACTTTTAAGAATCCCTTTGCGTGGGTAATATAGTAACAAAATAGCAAAGGTGACTTTCCATGCTCATGAACTAATTAGCATATTTAACATTTTTTTCTTGTTCTGAGGTAATGCAGCCTTTAGTCCAGCAGCCCATTTTGCCTGTTGTGAAGCAGTCGGTCAAAGAACGGTTGGGTCCAGTACCCTCAAGTACTATTGAACCAGCCGAAGCCCAGAGTGCCAGTTCAGACCTTCCTCAGGTAAATGAAAAGTCTTACTGTTGTGCCTGTCACAGAGTAGGTTCTTAGTACATTATTCTCCCTTGGTGATTTGAATTGTAGTTAATTTCTGTATATATTTTACACAGAAATATGGTAGTCCATACATACTTGAACTTCAGCTGTAAATATTTTTGTTACTATTATAACATTTCCACATTCTCCTTTTTCTATAGTATTTGAAACTTAAATTATTCTTTCAAGTTAGTACTTATTTATAAGAAAGAGCTCTTTTTTCACTTTGTGGAGGAAATATTTTCCAGTAAGTCTGCCTGAAAAGTGAAGTTTAATACACCAAATATTATTTTTCCTACCATCTTTTACTGAACTAGAATTCTACCCTAGTGATAACTATGCAGTGACCCAAACTCAAAACTTTTGGGACAGAAAGGCCTAAACCATCAGGTTTTAGCGTGCTTAATATTATACTGATTCAAGTTACTTACTTAGCTCTGTCAGAACTTTGCGTCACTTACTCCTCACTCTCGGATTTTCTTCTCCATGTGTCATTCCCTTCCCACTCCCTTCCATACTTGAGTGGCGGTTTCTTATTTCTATACCCTCAGTCTCTGAAACTTAGCTTTCCTTTGTCTCCAGATGTTTCTCCATTTGTTGTATAAAATAGAGTTAGGATATACTATCCTACTTAGCTAATGGATGCCACCTTATTAAAATAGTCTTCCTGAATAATTCCTGAAAAGTAATATATTCAGATTTTATTAAAAAATGCAGAGTGTAAATTGGTAAATTATTAATTACTTAAAAAAAGAAAACCCAATCCTATTCCAAATCATCAGCAAATGCAATATATTTGGCTATAAAACAAACGTACTTCAGGAAAGAATGGCTTTTATTTTTAAGTTCGAGAAACAGGCACATCCTTTATTTACTCAAATCTAATACTATAGTGTTCAAACTTTCTATTTGTCAACATAGGATTCTAAGAATTTATGGATTCTGTATCATGGAGGGGACTTTTGCAACCACCTGGTTCAAATATCTTATTTTATATCATAGTTTTTCATGATTGAGTAATATTGCATACTGTTTGTTTTTTTCCATACACATTTTCTTTCTGTCTCTGTCTTTGAAAAAGGCTCAGATTTTGTGATTAACATCAGTATACTTCTAGAGTCAGTATTTGTTAGTAGAGTCAGAATGTTCAAAGTCCCAACAGACTTATATATGTTTGGGGAAACACTGAATATGTCCATTTTAATTTTTTTAGAATGTAACTAAATTATCTGTGAAGGACAGGTTGGGTTTTGTATCAAAGCCATCTGTTTCAGCAACTGAAAAGGTAAGAAGAAGCATGATGTGTTTGTCTTGGCTTCATAAATGTTTTCAGGTGGCATCTTAATTTTTTTAATTTTTTCATAGATCCAAACTTTTGCTTCTTAATAGTATCTCTATCTCTTATTCCTACCTTTTTGCTTTCCATTTGCTGAAAAAGAAAAATACTTGCCTACCTTTTTTTACTTTTTGCATCAGCATTTTAATACTTGCCGCTCACTCTAGTTTACGTGTGCTCCATTCTTTCTCTTTTTATTTTTATTTTTTGTATTTACTGTATTTTCTTTAGAGATATTTTACATTTTAATTTGAAAACTGACAGCCAATAGAAAGGGCCATGAACTAGGGATTTTACTGGAGTTTGAGCTTTGGCTCTTTTTTTACTAACTGCATGACATTGGGCAGTGCTGTTAATGTTTATGAACCTTTTTCTTCATCATAAATGGTGATGGTAATATTTGTCTTGCTTATGGAGTTTTGTGAGGATTAAATAAAATTATTTAAAAGTATTTTGTAAACTGAAAAAGATGATGTAAATATAAGATTTTTATTTATTATTAACAGCTATTGTGTATAGCCTGACAATATATTTAGTCTTTTTTTTTTTTTTTTAAATGAAGGGGCAAATATTGATTAAATTAAGACCATTAATGGACCTATCTTACAGTTCTGTGTAGATGAGGAACCCTACCCTCCACACCTGTTTAGGTATGAGTGAATGCCTTGATTTATTTGAGGTATATGGAATCACAGAATATTGGAATTAGATAATCTTTCCCGTTTCTATAGCTTCACCTTAACGCTGAAGAGGTCGCAGCTGATCTGAGCAACATAGACTAACTTGACCTACCCTGTAATTTTTTTGACCGTGACATGTGCAGGGGGTAAAAGGGTAAGGTCCAAATAGTTTTTTGGTTGACCTATACACTTAAGTTACTCAGCTAGGAAATTGACTTCGTAGGTAAATAGAACACCTGCTCTCTTCACTGATTCTTCAGTATATTGTTTTCCTTATTTACTATGTAAAAACAGTCTCATTCTCTAAATTAGATTTCCCTCTTGGCTACCTCAGCATTACTTCAGGCATAATATGCCTAAGATGATTCATTATTTCCCACATAAATTAATTTCTTCTCCTAGCCCTCACCTTTGGAAGTGATATCACCATTTCCAGTTTGTACAATCTAAAAGACTTTAGAGTCATTTGCTTGTGTTTGTAGTCCACATCTCTATCACCGTCAGGTCCCTGGCCTCTAGATGCAGTGTCATAGCTGCCAGCCACCTCCTCTAGCGAACACTGCCATCATCCTGCTCTCAGATTTATTTTAATGTGAGTTGCTTATAGAAACCTTCATTTTCTTAGCTAAAGGACTTATTGTGGTTGAAAGCTCATCATACCTCAGTTATTCCGGTTCTGTTACCTCTGCTTTAGTCCTTCTTTTCTAAGGAGTCTTTTTCTGCTCATTATATCTTGCTATTTTTTGTTTCTTTTTTAAATTGTTTTTGGTGATGATTTTCCTAAAGTGCATTTCCCCCTGACTAACTGAATTCTAGTCATTCTTTTAAAGAGTGAAAAATCTCTGACCTCTTCTATGAAACCTCCAAATTTTTCCACATTATGCTGCCCATTTCTCTAAATGTGTGTACCTTAGTCTGTCCTACTCAATTTAGCAGTAAGTCTTTAAGTGTATTTTTCTTGATAATAAGTAACTAAGAAATAACAGTATGAGGTCATTTAACTTAGCAGTTCTAAAAATCTAATTATGTTTAGTATCTGTTTCTGTTGAAATTTGGACTCTGAGACTGAAGTGTTCTAATTATAGGTTTTACAAAACTTTTCTAGTGTGTTTTGCTACTGTTCCATTAATTTTGTTTTAGTGCGATTTATATAGTTTTAGGATAAGGGGAGAAACTAAAAATTGATAGTATAATTTACTAATATAGTTACAATTAATTGAATTTGAAAAAATCACTAATGACAGTGGGCTATTTATGGAAAAAAATTACTTGCTAAATACTGTGAAGAATCTTTTCAGGGAAGCAATTATTCAGAAACATAACTTTCAGTCATCTTCAGTGAACCTGTTTAAAGAATAGCATTTTATTTTTGCTTATTCTTGGTGCTGTCTCTTCCCCTACTCCACAGTGATTTTTGCTGCAGAATCCTTAGAGGTTAATTATTCAAAAAAGTCTTAGGAGGAATAGAAGATGTTCTCCGTCATCAAATATTACTCCTTTTTTTTTTTTATTGAAGGTAGAGAAAAGTCTCAAAAACTAGTATCCACCGAGTATCTTCTCTCATTGTTAAAGCAAATAGACAAATGTACTGTATATGACATTGAGTAAATCCTTTAGTGATTTAAAAAAAAAAAATTTAAGTTTCCATTTCTTGAGAGGGCTGAGAGAGAAGAAATTTAAAACCTAATTGATACAGCTAAATGTTAAAATACTGTAGTAGCTGTGAAATAGGTATTATTTGAGTAGAGTGATCAAATGATGTTTGAGTGCTTCTGTTTACTGTAGAAGGATTTATGAAGACTTAAGGCATCTGCTGCATATACCATCCTGGCTCGTTTTTTAAAAAAGATTTACATTGTCCACATTATCTCCTTGAAGCCCCTCTAAATTCTGAGAAGCAAGCTGATTAATCACTTGAATATTTATTGTTCTTATTTATTATTTTTAGGTGTATCAGACATATGATACAGGATATTGTTTCTTATTATTTTTCTTGTTATCTGAAAAATACATCTTTGGGGGGGTTTTTGTTTTGTTTTGTTTTGTTTTTGCATGCTGATTTATTAACATCTGTATCACGGCACTTTTAAAAGGGAAATTGAGTGGTAGAATTGAAGGAAGGTTGCATGCTGTAGAGAAACTTAATCCTGTTGATTTAGTAGCTGACGTTCTGTATGATCCTGAACTAGTCTTACTCTCTCAGCTTCCTTAATGGTAAATGCAGTCATTTAAGTAAACCTTTGCTTTTTAAATTTGTACTTGTGTAATTTTTCTACTTTAAATATGAAGATTAAGGAAATTTATGATAGTTTTTTTTATAACTGTTGTTAACTAATTTTGATTATTTAAATACATTGGCCTTGTCAGGTTTAATATCTGGATTACTCAGTCAAAATTGCTATCAGGAATATTTTTTCTTCAGAGAAATATGGTCTTTAAAATTACTTACTATGCAGAATTTTCTGGGAACCAAACTATTTGTAGCAAAAATTGATTACTAACTACACATTTTCCCTTTGACATTAAAATATTTCTCTGCAATCTTTAATCCCTTTGTGTCTCTTAAGCTATTTAGTACTATTGAAAGAAATAAAACTCTTAACCCCTGAAAATATTTTATAAATTTAACTTTAAATCATGTTGTTCTCACTAGAATTTGTTTGCTATAGAAAACACATGTATGTGTTACTGTAAGAGACTATCATAAATGAACATTCAGATTTATTGAAAAGATGATTATTTACTTAATATAAAAATTGACCATGCAGTAATTATATTAATAAGCTTCCTACATGTAACTCCTCAGATACTCTATTTTCATTGCATTTAAACAAGGCACTTCAGCTCTAGAAACCTGTTGTTAGAGCTAACTTTACTGTGAGTGTGGCTATGAAGCACTGTAACTGTGTTTCTTTTGTATTTGATTCAAACTTGGGCATTGCTTATTAAAAAGTGATACTTGGATTACTTTATTTCTAATAACCTTTTGTAGTAATTTTTACAAAATACTTTGTCTTCTTCTATTCTTATCAATGACAAAAATCTGTTTTCCTCTGTATTAAGTGTATTAATAATAGTTGTGGCTGGTAATGTTTTACATAGGAATCAGACAAGGAGGTGTTATAGATTATAACATATCTTGTTAAGAAAATGGCCTGTGTCTTGAAATGTAAAAGGTATTAGTGATGTATATTTTAAAAACAAAGCATATGATATTTTTCAACTGATCTTAAAAATTCAGTATACCTTTGATACCAAACCTGAAAAATATATAACAAGAAAGGAAAATTACATGCCAATGTTTCATGAACCACACGCACAAAAATTGTAGGTAAATTATTAGCAAAAGTCCAGTAATATGAAAAAAAATAATACATCCCAGCCAGGTAGGGTTTATTTCAAAAATGCAAGGTCAATTTAACATTTGGAAATTAGTATAATTCACGCCATTAACAGAATAAAGTTGGAGTGGAAGATGGGAGGGGAAAACCCCATATAATTATCTCAGTAAAAAAAACATAATATTTGTAACAGCATCACATTAAAAATTCTGAAAACTAGGAATAGAAAGAAACTTGCTTAATTTGACGAAGTAATATATGCAGGAAAACCCTATAGATAATATACTCAGTGATGGAATATTGATTGTTTCCCCCCTGAGATCAGGAACAAGAAAGAATGTCCATTCTCGTCTCTTTTTTTACAGTAGTATAGGGCCTTAGCAGTACAATAAGGCAAGAAAATGAAATAAATGACATAAAGATTGGAAGGAAAGAAACGAAACAGTATTTACTCATAGATGACATGATTGTGTATTTTAGAAAATCCAAAAGAATTCGCAAACAGTTGGAATTAATAAATGAATGAAATAAGGTCATAAGGTCAAAATGTAAAAATATAGCATACACAGCAACCTGTTTGGACAATAGAGAAGGTGTGGTAGTTCGGAAAGTCCACTGTCTGTGCTTTGTGTTCTTAGGAATTATAGCATCTTTTTTTTGGGCTTGTTACTTCCCTCCACTGGCTTCATTTTTAACAGATTTTCTTCTCTTTCATTACAACTGTGTCCTCATGTTTTGAATATATAGATATTTTTGCTAGCCAAACTCTTACTCTGGAATCAACTCTGTCTAAACTCTGGAATCGAATAGATTCAAATAGTAATATTTGCAGCCATATAGTTCATTGTTTTAAGACATTCTATTTTCACACTTTATACCTCTGAAATTGGGCTCCATTTTAGTCATTGGTGTTTATGGTTGTAATTGGCAGCCTTTTTTTTTTTCTTTAGTGGGGTATATAAATGGAAAATGTCTTTGAAAATGAGTGATGTCTTAAGCTCAGTGAAATATGTTAGCAGATGTTCTATTTTTACAGAAGGAAGTTCCTGGATAAAACAAAGTGGGATGTTTCTAGGAACAAAGGAGTCTTCTCATTCTTATCAGATACTTTTATTCACTTTGAAAAGCCACTCTTTAGTCTAATATCTGATGTTATTAAGACATCTTTGAAAAGGAACATTCCCTACTCGCTGAAATTGGAGAAATGTTTAAGTAAAGAAGTAATTTCTTTACTTCTGGCTTTCTCGTAGTGTTTATGATAAAATACTTTTTGAAACTAGAAAATAGACTTATGATATTTATTGTTCCCAACTGATTTGAGGGCACAAATATTTTTTGGTTACAACTTTTTAACTTGTGGAATTCTCATGAAGAAAAGTTTATGAAACACTCCAACTCTGTTTCCAGCAGATTATCTTGTGTTTCTCCCTTTAAAATTATTGTCTCATTCTTTATATAATCATACATTTTGGCATTGTGTAGTGTGCGGTAAGATAGCATGGAAGAAATTTTTCTCTAGAATTTCAGAGAATGGTGACTGGAATTAGACTACAAACTAAATAAATCTAGTTTGGTCTGTGTTTTACTGAATAAACCATTTTATAATTGTTAGTGATATTCTGGCTATTAGTTTTCATTATTACAGAAAATTAGCAGTGAAATTTTGATACACATCAAATATTAGAAATAACTTTTATTTTTAAACATCAGTGGTGCTGTTTGTTTGGAACAAGTATAATTACAGTACCCTGGGATTTTATTTTATTTAGAAGCTAGCATTTTTGAATACTAGGAATTGTGATAAGTTGCCTGAACTTCGTGATGCTCCCCAAACTAATTTCATGATAAAAGATTACAATGTAGAGAGTCTAGATTGCTACTTCTCTGGCACCCAGATATTTAAATTTTAGTGGCTATAAGATAGAGCTCTTTTTCCTCATTGATACTCTTCTATTTATATATAGTTTTTAATAAAGCCTCTTTTTGGTCATGAATTCCTTTCAGACTTTGGAAGCTATGTTTTTTTCCTCTAGAAATTTACATTCTTTGTATATATGATCTTATATTTTGTTTTTATAGCATTCAGAATAGATCTCCCTGAAGGGATCCCTAGACTCCTTTCCAAGAACCAGTAACCAACCACCCCATAGAACTTAAAACTTTTTGCTTTTGACAGGTTAAAAAGTAAGCCATATACCATGTTTTGCTGTGTATATATGTATTTTTTTGCCCAAATATTTGAGTGAAAAATAAGGATGCACGTTGTACATGGGAATTTGTACTTAAAATGTGTGTGCGCATTATACACAGCAAAATATGGTGCTTTTCTTAATTTGACCCTTGTGTAGAAGAGGTTGTCCACTCAGATCCGTCATCATTTCAGTTTAATTTAGTGTTTACTGAATATTTACAATGTGCCCTGGCACTGTTCTAGGCACTAAAGATACAGCAATGAACGAAGCCCCAAAAAACCTTACCCTTATGTGTTAAGGGCATTAGATATCATCAAGTTGAACTTTCTCATTTTATAGATAAACAAACTGAGGCCTAAAATGGTACTTGAACTTACGCAGGGTCTCATAATTAATTAGTAGCAGGGATTAGGTACTGGAAGAAATGCAAAGGAGAGAGAGACATGGTTTTTGTTTCAAGGCCCTTACTATGTAGACAGGGAGAGAAACAAATCAGGTCATATTTACTAAATATCCTAATAGTCATAGGAGTAAATTTTTATAGAAGGACTTGGGTAAAAGAAATAAACGATTATGACTTTGTGGAGGTCTTGAGTGGTTGTGCTGAGACTGAGCTGGTTTTAGGGGAATACGGTCACTTGAAGCAGAAAGGCCATGCTAGCAAAGGAATGGAGAAGGAAGCAACAAAGTTAATTTCTGAACTGTAAATTACAAATTATCATGAGAGACATTTGCCAATTGTTTGAGCGATGTCATCCAGTTTTCTCCTGTGCCATGCTCTCTGATACAGCTTTTCTTCAGTTACTAGGAATACTAGCAAATGTATTAATCAACTTATATTTTCTCATTGATATAGTAATGACAGCACTTTTTTCTTGAAGTTTTTGTGTTTGTTTTGCTCTTTTCTTGTAGGTATGTTAATTAAAAAGTATTTTTTTATGTCATAGCTTATCCATCATTCATACCCTTCTTTTCAAATTAAGAAATGATTTAGTTATTATACATACATAATACATTTAGTTTAGTGTGCTAAATTTTGACAGAAGTGCTTGAGCATTGTTTTGTTAGAAAACCATGGATGCTTGATACATTTTTTATGAAATTGAATTTGTATTGGTAGGTGTTATCTACATCTACTGGCCTAACAAAAACGGTGTATAATCCAGCTGCTTTGAAGGCTGCACAAAAAACCTTACTTGTTTCCCCCTCTGCAGTTGATAATAATGAAGCACAGAAAAAAAAACAGGTAAGTATAATTCTTATTGTACAAAATTTGCATGTAGGAAAGCTTTTCTGCATGTATGTGTTTTGACAATGCCTATAACAAACTGAAACTGAAAGGAGTATGTCAGTTGCCACTCAAATTTTATTTTCCACAGTGTAGTAGTAAATATTAAATTTTTTTTTCCTTGGAATGAACGGTTCTCCTGATTTTTTTAACTTGCGCATATATTTAAGTCTTACTTAGGAAAACTTTGCGTTTAATTTTTGTTGCCATGCTTCTGTAATTAACACCTCTTGAGTCATTTTGTTTATTGGAAAAATAAACATTAAATAGTCTAATGATATTTTTGGTCCCTTTCTCTAGGAGGCACTGAAGCTTCAGCAGGATGTAAGGAAAAGGAAACAAGAAATTTTAGAAAAGCACATTGAAACACAGAAGGTAAAATATTAAGGCTAGATTTGGTGAAACATATTTATAAATACTACAATGTTGAGTGAATTTAATCTTATACTATATAGGTATTCCTGAAAAACATATTTACTGTACTTGATAATGGTAAAACTGAAATGTTATCAATGATTAAGTATATTATCAATTGCTAGTATATAGGGGATAAAGAGCACACATTAAATAGAGGACAGGGATTTGGAGTAGTTTAAATGGAACTACGGTTATCAGATTTGAAATGAAGATAAGGAATATTTATCCAGGCATGTAGCCACAGCATACTTTGTTCAACAGATAAAGAAATGGAGCTTTTTTCCTCAATATTGAGATATGTACCTTTCTTTAATTGGTTTGGGATCCTCTAGTCCTGTTTTGCCCAATACAGCAACTAAGAGCCACATCTGACTATTATTTACTTGAAATGTGTCTAGTCCAAGTTGAGATGTACTCTAAGTATAAAATACATACCAGATTTCAGCTATGTCGTATGAAGAAAAAAAGTAAAACACCTCAATTTTTGTTGAATTGGAACACTTTAAATATCTTTAGTTAAATAAAATATATTATTTAATACATTTACTGTATCTTTATCTTTTTAAAATGACTGTTAAAAAGTTAAAAATTTTGTAGCTTGCAGTATTTCTTTTTTACAGTGTTACTGTAGTTTATGACTACATAAGCATAAGTCCTTGATCAAGTCTGGAAATAAAGGAAATGACATTTCAAAATACTGAAAATACAGAAACTTTACATTTTGGTTTAAAATGTATGTCTTTTATAATTTAAATTTTGATATGCTTGAAAAGAGAAATGGCAATGATTTGCACCAAAAACTGAAGCCATCTTGACTCAAAAACCTGTAATATTGTGTGGTATCATCTACCCCATAATACCCTGTTTATCTTCTTGTTCCCTGTTCATGTTGGGGATATCATTCCTAGGCTAGCCAGGTACTATTTCCCTGTGACAAAGAAGGTAACTCAACATCCCATTTTCCTAATACCTTATTTATATGGAAGGAAAGCAAAACTTTTCCTGTGATTCATTCTGGGTTACAGACTCCATGTGGAGCAGGAATACTTATAATAATCAACAATGGATTAGAAATTGTCCAGCCCTGGCAGGTAAGTCATTTAGTTAGTGTGTCGTCCCTATATGCCAGGGTTGCAGGTTTGATTCCCAATTAGGGCACATATAAGAATCAACCAGTGAATGAATGCATAAATAAATGGAATAACAAATCAGGGAGAGAGTGTTTCTTTCTCTCCATTCTCTAAAAAAATCAATAACTAAAAATGTAAAACAAAAGAAATTAAATTATCAATACTATTCCAGACTGACAACTCTTCAGGGATTGAATTGAATTTCTTATGTTCTAAATAGTAGTACTATAGTTTTTAGGGACTAAGCCAAGATTAAGGCTTGAATTGAGATAGTTAGCATCACCAATCTATTTTAGTGGTTGTAATCCTTGTTATAAGTATATAAATTAAAAGTAGTAGATACTTATTTTTATATTTAGTTTGCTGTGTTTGTATTATTAATAATAGGAATAAGTATTTTACATTTCTCTTTTTAAAAATTTGGCAGATGTTAATTTCAAAGTTGGAGAAAAACAAAGCAATGAAGTCTGAAGATAAAGCAGAAATAATGAAAACATTAGAGGTTTTGACAAAAAATATTACCAAGTTGAAAGATGAGGTCAAAGCTACTTCTCCTGGACGCTGTCTTCCAAAAAGTATAAAAACCAAGACTCAGGTATTTTGTGTTATTCATATTACTACTTAAAAAAACATTAAAACACTACATTAAGTTCTGTTTTTTGTTTGTTTGTTTGTTTTTTAGGTAATACTCTTTGCTCAAAATTGTATGCTACCATTCTCCCCTTCCTTCATTAATAAGTAAACACAAATAAGCAAACTCTACTAATCTTTTAAATCCTGTGGATTACAGATGGAAGTCAGTAATTAGGAGAATAGATATGGATAATCTTGAAAAGGTAGATTGAAGACAAAATGATATAGGTACTTGAATGCTTGACTGAGGAGTTTGAGCTTTATTTTATTAGGAGCTTGTGATATAAAACATTAACAGAGAAGAAACATTCTGACAGCACTATACAGAATGAATTTATTGAACCGGGGGAAAATTCATTAGATGATAAATAAGTTCAGATGATAATAAATGATTAAGTAAAAAAAAAGTTATATTTGTAGTGTGTGTGTACATATATAAAATCTTTATTATCTATTGATATTTCGGATTCTAATCCAACACCTAGGGTTCTCCCTTTCCTTCTCTTATTCCTTATTTTATCTGCCCCTTCCCATAATGACAGCTTGGCTTCCACTAACATCAATACAGTACTCATTTGCTCAGTCTTGGAATATATTACAATATGTAATAAATTACATATTATATTAAATAGTCTCAGAATTGCTACAACAATATCACTTCCAACAACTAACTAAAATAAAATTTAGAATTTAGTTGCATGTTTTTTATAACCTCACAATATATTCCACAAATGGTATAGAATCAGAACTATGGTTTAGGATTACATTTAAAAAAAATTTTTTTTAATATATATTTTATTGACTATGCTGTTAACAGTTGTCCCATTTTTTTTCCCTCCCTTTTATTCTGCTCCACCCTGCACAGCCCCTCCCTCCAGCATTCCCCCCTCCTTAGTTCATGTCCATGGGTTGTACATATAAGTTCTTTGGCTTCTCCATTTCCTATACTGTTCTTAACCTCTCCTTGCCTATTTTGTACCTACTATTTATGCTGCTTATTCCCTGTACCTTTTCCCCCATTCTTCCCCCTCTCTCTCCCCTCTGATCTCCATTTCTGTGATTCTGTTCCTGTTCTAGTTGTCTACTTAGTTTGTTTTTGGTTTTGTTTTTGTTTTGTAGGTTCAGTTGTTGGTAGTTGTGTTTGTTGTCATTTACCGCTCATAGTTTTGATCTTCTTTTTCTTAGATAAGTCCCTTTAACATCTCATATTATAAGGGCTTGGTGATGATGAACTCCCTTAACTTTACCTTATCTGGGAAGCACTTTATCTGCCCTTCCATTCTAAATGATAGCTTTGCTGGATAGAGTAATCTTGGATATATGCCCTTGTCTTTCATGATTTTGAATACTTCTTGTCATCCCCTTCTTGCCTGCAAGGTTTCTTTTGAGAAATCAGCTGATAGTCTTAATGGGAACTCCTTTGCAGGTAACTGTCTCACTTTCACTTGCTGCTTTTAAGGTGCTCTCCTTATCTTTAATCTTGGGTAATGTAATTATATGTATCTTGATGTGTGCTTCCTTGGGTCCAACTTCTTTGAGACTCTCTGAGCTTCCTGGATCTCCTGGAAGTCTATTTCCTTGGCCAGATTGGGGGTGTTCTCCTTCATTATTTTTTAAAGTAAGTTTTCAATTTCTTACTCTTTCTCTTCTCCTCGGACCCTTATGATTCAGATGTTGGACTGTTTAAAGTTGTCCCAGAGGTTCCTAAGTCTCTCCTCATTTCTTCGAAATCTTGTTTCTTCATTCTGTTCTGGTTGAATGTTTATCTGTTCCTTCTGCTCCCAATTGTTGATTTGAGTTCCAGTTTCCTTCCCTTTACTGTTGGTTCCCTGTATATTTTGCTTTATTTCACTTTGCATAGCCTTCGCTTTTTCCTCCATTTTGCAACCATACTCGACCAATTAAGTGAGCTTCCAGATTACCAGTGTTTTGAACTGTGCATGTGATAGGTTGGCTATCTCCTCATCGCTTAGTTCTATTTTGGGGGCTCTGATCTGTTCTTCTATTTGGGCCATATTTCTTTGTCTCAGCATGCCTGTTAGGTTGAGGGGCAGAACCTAAGGTATTCGCTAGGGTGGGGCCACCCAGGGCGCTGTGTTGTGACACTGCCTGTGGGGGAGGGGTCCAAGAGGGAACAGTGCTGCTTGCTTGGTTTTCAGTCACTTCCCCTGCTACCTACAAGCAGATTGAACCTTTCCGGTGCTAATTCCCAGGTGGGTGGGTTTGTGTATGTCCTAGGACCCCATGGGTCTCTCCAACAGACTCTCCTGTGAGGCTGGGAGTTTCTCTTGCCGCTGCAGCCCCCACAGGATTTTACCTCCAGAGGTTTGGAGGCTTTCTTTTTTCGCACTGGAACCCTGGGTTGCGTGGTCTGTCTCCCTCTGTAGCTGTTCCTCCGGTTTGTCCACATGCGAATGTGAGACTGCCCGGTCCTTCAGCTGCTGCCTTGCCGTGCAGCCTCTTTGCCCCTGCTGCCTGTCTCCATCCCTCCTACCCGTCTGGGTGAATGTTTCTTCTTTAACTCCCTAGTTTTTGGACTTCCATACCATTCAGTTTTCTGGTAGTTCTGGTTATTTTTTGTTTTTAAATTTGTTCTTGTCCTTCTTTTGGTTGTGCAAGGAGGCAAAGTGTATCTACCTATGCCTCCATCTTGGCCGTAGGATTACTTTTTCTTACTGTGTGGTTTTATTATTAATTTGATAAAGTTGAGCATATTTCTGTATTTGTTCAGTTTTGGATCCCCCTCATTCTTACTGATTTATTTTTATTTTTTGAATTTGTAAAACATCAACATGATTCAAAAGTTAAACTATGAAAAGGTATACAAGTACATAACTGGCCCCCTTTGATCCCTGACACTGTTCCCTACTCTTCCCTTTTTAGTGTGTGCACGTGTATGTATTCTTCTGTACATAAAAGTATACTATATATTGTTTGTTAATACCTTGGTGTTTGTTTTTCTTTCCCAGTTATTTCCTGAAAATCACTTTATATCAGTCCACAGAACTCTCTGGCCTCTGTATGGGAGATAAGTTACAGGGAAATGAGGGGAGTAGGAGCAAGTTAAGAAGCGATTACAGTAGTGCAGGCTAGGGGTGGTTGGTGGCTTGTGCTAGGGCGGTGTGACAGGAGATAGAGAAGTGTACAGATTAAATGGTAATGTGTGAAAGTTTTTTGTATAAATGCTGGGTATTAATTATTGTCACCTAAAATATTAATTACTATTTTCTAGATGCAGAAAGAATTGCTTGACACAGAGCTGGATTTATATAAGAAGATGCAAGCTGGAGAAGAAGTCACTGAACTTAGGAGAAAGTATACAGAATTACAGCTGGAAGTATGTTTCATCATAGTTACACAGAATGCTAAGGAGGAGCAGATATAATTAGGGTGGTTAATTTGAAAACACATTCCCCTCGTTCTAATAAAAAATCTGTGGCAGTCTCTGGCATACACATTGGGAATTGATATAGGAAAGAGGGAATATAACAAATTTTTTAGAGCTAATACATAAAATCTGTTCTATAATGAGGGATGGCAGCAGTTCTACCTATGCACCCAAGTCCTTCTATTTCTAGTGAATTTTGCTACTTTTCTGTTTTTTTGTGTGTCCTCCTTGGACCGAAGTCTATTGAAGGCTTTTCATGTATTCTTTCACAGATATCCTATGCATAAATAAGCATATTAAGTTCTATAAAGTTCAGACCTCTAGCACCAGAACTATGTCAAAGAACATGCTTATTTAAGTTTTGCCTATAGATGGTGCTATGGATATTTATAAAAGAAAATAAACTACTTTCTTATACATATGATTATTTATACAAAAAAATCAAGTGAAATTGATTCCTATACATGAGAATTTCTAAAATTTAGTACAATGATGTTTAAAAATTAGAATTATATATAAGCTCAGGGAAATTAATGTCATCAGTGTATTTGGTGCTTGTCTATATTTATCATTGTTTGATATTCCAGTTTAATATTTTAGATGATTATATTTGCTTAACCTGAGAATTATATTTTTTTCCAAATTTGCTAGCCACTTGATCATCTTTCTCTGACATTGTACAAACCAGCCAGGTATTAAAGATTTAACATTTAGCAGCCACTGTGTTTGTTATAAGGCTCTATTGTATCTAACAGTCATAGGAAGCTATAAAATGGTGTCCCTTAAGCTGCGCATTTTGCATTCTCTAGAAACTTGATATGGTTACCTGTGTGTCCTACCCAAGGTAACAGGTTTTCTAAAAGATAGATTTCTTTTATGTTATATAGAAATTGTGTTTTCCTCATTCTGGAGAATTGATGCCTGTGTTGGTGGAATGAAAAAAAAATTATCATTTTTAAAAGTTTTGGCTCATTATTTTAGTAAATAAATAATAATATTACTAATATTTTAATTTGAGTTTTAGTTCTTTATCATGATATAGCCAAACACTGAATAATGTTTTGTTATTATTATTTATCTTTTATAATGGCTAGACTTTAGCTTGCAGTTAGTATATGCAGTAATGCAATGTTTCTCAGAGTTTTCATCTTTCTGTTAACAGATATTAGTGAAAAAAGCTTCGAGGCCAAATAAACTTGGGAAAGGTTATATTAAACATCATTTTTGGCTATTGAGCTTTTAAGAGGCTTTTAATTGGTAAATGTCTAAAAATACATATTTAAAATTTAGTATTGCTCAAACTTATTTGTCCATGGACTCCCTTTTTTAGGGAGCGCTTTGTTCTTTAGAGTATCCTTTTGTGTATGCTGCTCTATTCTTAACATTAATCCTTGTCCTTTGAAGTCTATTTGGATTTTAGATTATTTTAGCTAATGTTAAGATTTACTGTCTTAAGATGAAAAAATGGAAATATTTATACTTGCAGAGATTTGGCAATGGTGCCTGCTTAATATTTCCACTTGAATGTTTTACATCCTCAGACTCAGTATGTTCAAAACGGTGCTCATTTTGCCCCTAAACTCTATCCACACAATTACCCAAACTCAAAATCTGAGTGTCTTCATTGATTCTTCCTTTTCCATCATTAGTTATGTCTAATTAATTACCAAGTGTTATACATGTTACTTCCAAACGTATCTTAAGTGTGTTTACTTCTCTGTCTCCATTGCCATCACTGTAGACCAGCTGTCTTCACTAGTCGGTGTTACTGTAGTAAACTACTGACTGGTATCTCAGCCTGTTCTCTTCTTCCTTCTCCTCTATGCTTAAAACGTTAGCCATAATAACGTTTTGAACCCTGATTTGATTACATCACTCTACCTTTCTGCTTTAAATGTTTTAATTTTAATTGATTTTCATAGCTCTTGGGATAAAATTCAAAATCCTTAGTGTAGTTCTTAAAGTTATTCATGACCTAGCTCTTTCTGGCTTTCTAGCTTCATCTCTCCATTCCATGTGGTCCAACTTCAGTGGATTTTATTCATGCTTTGAAGTACTATGTTCCTTTGAGCTTTGTTCTGCTTTGTTCCTCTTTGTTTATGCTGTAACCAACCCCCTCCCTCTTACCCTGGCCTTGGCTTGTGTTTTGTTCTTTCTTTGATTCATTGAACAAATATTAAGTATCTACAATCTGCCAGCTACTGTTATATGTGCTGGGGATAAAGTGGAGAATAAAACCAGGGGAGAAAATCCTCATGAAACTTTCATTCTGGTAGTTTTATTTATTGCAGATCTTAGTGTTCTGTGCAGATCTCTAATGTTCTGTTCTTCATTTTTTGAGTCACTTCATTAATATAATCATATGATATAAACTTAGTTGCTTAATGTCTTTTTACCCCTCTAGGATTTGAGTTTCATAAGGGTAAAGGACTTGTGCATTGGAACTATTCATTAAATATTTGTGGAATGAAAGAATGGTGTGCTATTTATATAATAGAGTGATGTGGTAGAATATAAATTACTATGCAACACTGGTTGTAATGTTACTGTAAGTGATCAAAGTGATGAATTTGTGATAAGTACCTACTGAAGTCAACAGGGAAACACTACTTTAAAATCACAAATGGGAAAATACATTTATTGTGTATGTAGGTATTTTATATTTATGTATTGAACTGACTTCAGAAGTAACACTTAACACTATTTGGAAATCAAGAATTGCTGGTCTTTTCGTGATGATGTCTGATGTCTTAGAGAGTAAGAACTTAGAGAAGAAAGCACATTTAATAATTTCAAAACATTGCTTAAAAATTAATGTTATTTTGTTTTCTAAATTAGCTATATAAATTTGCTTTCACTTTAAAAAGTAAAACCCCAACTTAAATTATGAGATCCTTTTATAGGGCATTATTTGAATATAATGTTGTATTGTATAAAAGTTTGACTTATCTGACAAAGTATAATGCTTGGCTTGTTTAGTAATTGTGATGTTTAACCTGTGTGTCTATTTTCTTCTAGGCTGCAAAGCGAGGGATTCTTTCAACTGGCCGGGGTAGAGGAATTCATTCAAGGAGTCGAGGCGCAGCTCATGGCCGAGGCAGGGGTCGGGGTCGGGGTCGAGGTCGAGGTCGAGGTGTGCCTGGACATGCTGTGGTGGATCACCGTCCCAGGGCACTGGAGATTTCTGCATTTACGGAGAGTGATAGAGAAGATCTTCTTCCTCATTTTGCGGTACTTTCTTACTGCACAACAAAACAAATATTGATAATCATTTTGGGGGATAATGTATATATTAAAGGGGAAATTATGAAAATGACATGAGTAATTTAAACCCATTAATCTGACCAAATGGTGATTAATTTATAATAATGTTATTATTTAAGTAACAAACTGTAAGGGGTTTTGTTTAATTGTTATCTGGAAAAAATCTTAAAATTCTTATTAGGCCTTTAGGTATTGTGAAATGAGTGATTTAAACTACTTTAGAGAGGAAAGTCCTATAATTTAGTTTTATTTGATACTTTAAAGGAAAAGTTCAACGCATTGCCATGGTCATTCAGAGTTTTTAAATTAAGACGGAATTTTATTTATTAATACTGTATTCTTGATTGGTCTAGCCAACCTAGAAATGAAACTGCTACTGGTCACAGTGGATAAAAATTATACCTTAAAACTTGTAGAGCACTTACTTTTTGGAAGGTATTCTTCTGAGTGCCTTATATAACTCACTGTATTATGAATTACCTTGACAACATTTTGAGGTAGGTATCTTTGCGTAGAGATGAGGAAAATGAAGCATGAAGAGATTTAGTAACTTACTCAAGTTTGCACAGCTAATAACTTACAGAGCAGGGATCTGACTGATTCTAGAGTCAATGGTCTTTATTACACTCTACAGAATTTTTCTGGATGGAGAGTGTGTGTGCGCATTTAATGAGATTGTTACTTATAATTTTATTTAGGAGTAAGAAGGAAAATACTAATGATACATAAAAAATAGAAGTTTATATGATAAAGTTGCTGTTCATAGAAAAATCCTCCATGTAAAAAAAAAATCTAACACAAACAATTTCATGTTTAGCTTTTAAATGTCTTTAACAGAGTGCATATGTGGTCTAGAGGTAGTAAAGAGTGGTTAGTGTTAAACTTTTGAATCAAAAGTCCTAGACTTTTAACCTGGTAACTAACTTTGCATTATTTTGGGGAAATCATTTAAGTTCTTAGTCTTTTTTACCCCCATCTTTAAATTGTAAATGACACACACACCCCCACAACTCCCCGCCTCAGACTATTCTGAGGATTAAATATTCTGCTTTAGAAGGAATTCAGCATATTCTGAGATCAAAATAATGAGTATAAAAGGAAAGACAGTAAGGAAGCTGTCTTTGATCGTTGTTTCCTTTATTTAAAGAATAGTTAAATTGAGTATAAGTTTCCTTAATTCTTTTCCTTAAATTGTACTTGGAAGATAGGACCACCCCTAATCTTACAATATCAGGTACTAAAATGAATTATTCATCATAATTTCTGTTAATCACCATGAATTGTTTTGTATTCTAGATTATATTTATTGGTATTTAAGTATTTTAAAAACCATTAGGATTTTGGCTACTTCAAAATATTTATTTGGAGGAAATACTTCTTTTTAATTTAAAGCAATATGGTGAGATTGAAGATTGTCAGATTGATGACTCTTCACTTCATGCAGTAATTACATTCAAGACGAGAGCAGAAGCTGAAGCAGTAAGTATTACAAGCAATCTATTGAAGATTCAGATTTAAATGTTTTATAAATCTTGCTTTTAAGTTTTAATATAAATGAACTTTTTAACTTACAAAATAACTACACTTTGACAATAGATAGAACATATGAAGTAGACTTCATGGCCGCAACGAATGTCTAAAGCAGCTAGGCTATGCATAACATGAAATAATTAGAATTTATAATCAGAGTTGAATGTCAAGTTGTATTCTTGAGACGCCAGGAAATCTGCTTCCTTTTTCTTTTACAGGAGATAGGGTCACCCCACTTTCTATTATTTTTCTAAGATGGCCCCAAACAAAGTCTTCTTTGTCAGACTGAGTAGTGAGGGATAAGGTGGAAGCCGAGATGGAATCTTCGTGCCTGCCCTTCTTACCCATCCTCTACCTCCTGTTTCCTAGTCCCAATTGGCTATACCCTAAAGAACTGTCCCTGGCTCAGCATATGCCCAACTATGCCTCTACAACTTTTTTCCTAAGAATAATATAAAGCTCTAGCTTCTAGGGTCCTTTTAATATAGTTGCCTTAAACCATGTACATCTTGAATTGTCTTCCCAAAGAATGACCAGAGTATATGCAACCTTGTATTTCTTCTGGGTTTAAAAGATGAAAAAAGAAAAATAGGTATGAGGTGTAGGGGATTTATAGGAACTGTTTAAGCCTTGTGTGTTCTTTGTTTAAGATTGTAGAAAAACATATGTATCCTATTGTTATTGGAAAAATGCAGTAAATGTTCCAAAGAAATTAGTTAATCTAATGTGAATGGAAGAGTTGGATGCTTTTCTGATGTTTTAAGTTGATTTATGGGGTATATAAGTTTTGGAAAACGTTTTAAAGACTGATTTATCCTTTTTGTAGCTCCTGCCATCACACTGGTACATTGCTGGGGCTTACCTGGTAGGACATCCTCTTGGGACATTGTAACCAATTAAAGGCAGTGGGTCTGATAAGTCGCAGAAAAGTGTTCAGCTGAGCCCTGGAATAACCTAGTTTTCTAGGTTAGTGGGGTGGGTAAGTGGACAGTTTTATAGACTAGGAATTCCTTATTCTACAGTTCTGTTTTTATAAATCTAGTTTTGGCTCTTATTTAAAGATCTTTTGTGAAAATAAAAATTTATAATTGATGAGAGTTTAAAACTTTCTTATAAACTTGTGTGTAAATGTCATATTGAAAAAGTAGGTCTTTGATCAAGTTTTCCCTTAAAGGTATTGTTGAGTACATGTTAAGAATAAGCTTCCTATAAATGATGGCTCCAGTGGTAATTTTCAGTGTAATGTTAGATAGGTACCTGAGTTCTATTTTATTTTTTAGGAAGTAGTCACATTACAAAACAATGGTAGTTACTTATTATTGTACATATGGTTAAAATACTTCATTACCAAGTTTGTGGGTTTAATAACAACTTTTAAAATACGTGTGTTACTTTCTTCTGCTTGCTTATGTGACTGAGGGGGAAAAACAAACCTCTGCCTTTTAAGTAATTTTTGGAGATTTTGCTCTTGCTAAGACCTGTTGACATCTACCTTCTTTCTTGAGTCTTAATTTTTTCACCTCAGATGTATAAATTAACTCAATATATTTATTTTCCAAATGAATAGCAATCAATTCAAAAGACCAGGGATTAATGTATAAGAAAGGCTTTAACCCTGAATAAGTGAAAAAATAGCTTAAGTTAGGTATAATGAAAATTATCTTTTCAAGATAAATAACCATTTTAGTTGCATTTACTGAACAGGCTGAAAGGAAAAACTACCAGGCTGTGATAAACATTTAGAATTAAGTTATAGACACTGTTAAACCACAAAGATTTCCTTAAGCCATAACATTTCTTTAAATTTTGTAACATTCTATTTTAGAAGATAATAGAAAATTCAGTTGAAGCTTATCTTATACAGGCAGAATATAGGCTAAAGTAGTGGTTTTTAAACTTCTGGATCTCAGGAAACATTAAGTTCAGAAATTTAAAAATCAGTATGTTTGACATAGGGGTGCTACTTTTTTAATTTTGTCAATGAGGAATGCTTAAACAGTACAAAAAAGATTACATTTATCATCACTATTGTGTAAAATAAATTTTAACACCAAAATGTAGAAGGATATAAAGTCAAGACAAAGGATAGACTTTCTCAAGAAACTTACCAACCTTTACTAATATCTATTTTCAAATATTTTTATTTTCTGAACCATTGTAGATGAATGAATGAATGAATTTTTTTTTTTTTATAATCAATAGATGCAAAATTTTTCAAAGTGGAAGTAGAGGAATAAGTTGAGACATTCAAATATATCTGAAAAGTGAGAAATTTTACCTAGAAAAAAGATCAGAATATTTTAAGGAATAATAATATAAACAGAACACTTTTAGCTTTAGGTTAAGATGATTATGGTTTGATTCTTGTTAGTTAGAAGATGGTTCCTACTGCTTTATTTTCCATTTTCCTATCACCACCCCATGTACTAAAGACAGGTAAGTACCCAAACAAGACAAAAAAAGTAGTCTCTTCCCATGACTGGTTAGAATGTTATTCTTCCTACTCTGAATTGTTCCTATACCTTTGTAAGATACAAGGATCCAGTTTTAGAAAAGGAACAGTTAATTTCCTATTTCATATAAATCAGTCTCAAACCCAAGGGGGGGATGTGGGGGGGGGCTTTTTATTTCAGAAGGAAAGAGAATCTTGTTCTACTACTATATTTTTAACACTCATGCCTCAACTCCCAGTAGCTGTGAGGATTCACTAATTCACAGCTTAGAAAGTACTTAGAACAATGCCTGGGACATAGTAAACCCTCTTAATGATAGCTATAATTAATATTATTGTGGGGTTTTTTTCCCCCCAAGAAGAGAAATGATTGGAAACTAAAGAGAGACAAGAAAGAGTAAATGATTTCAAAACTCATTCTTTAGACCTGAAGTTAGAAATACAAAATTGGGTTCATAGAGAATAGTGCAATAATAGCTAGTAATTGATGGGGCAGACTGAATAAATAGTAAATGAATAGCAAGAACAATATGTGTAAGTGGATTCAATCAAGAGAAATCAAATCATGTACATAGCAGAGCTTTCTCTGTATGTTTTTACTGATTTACTTTTAAGTACTGCTATATGATAAGCACTGCTACCAGAATTAGTAAATCTAAGTCTAAAGCTTGTTGGAAAGTGGCAATGCAGCTTGAACTCAAGAGTTAAAGGAATGGAAAGAGGTCTTTCCCTGTAAGTTCTAAAAATTAGGTTTTACTTTTTTTTTTTTTTTTTAAATTTGTGGTCCTTTAATGTAATTTCTGCCTAAACATTGTATACTGTGGTTATTACAAACATTAATAAACTTGGTTTTAGCTTTCTTTTATAGATTAGTTTTAATCATATGTTTACTAAAAATGTAAGGTACCCTAGGATGGGATTGCAGCTTTAACTCCTCTGACCTTAGGTCAGTTTTCCCACAGTTTTTACAGAACACTGGTTTTGCAAGAGTTTCCCTAACAAAGGATTCTCTTGTTAGATAAGTTTGTAAAAAGCTGCATTTTGTGTATTTCATTTAGATTCACAATCTAAGTGACTTGAAAAGGCAGAAGGTAAACACAACAGTTTAATTTTGCTTAACCCCGTTTTTTCCAAATGTTAATTATTTCCAGAACCATGAGATAATGAACCCGCCTCATAACTTTTTATCCTTTTTTCTTCCTCCATCATTTGTCAGATCTTTAGCCTTTTTCTCCTTTCTGTTGTGCATATGCTTGCTTTCCTTAGTTTTTAATTTGCTTCAAACTTTGATGAAGTGCAAGGTGAATAAAATGCTTTAGTTTTTAAAGTTATTCTTTACATTTCATAGCATAGAAATTAGGATTTTGAAATCAACCACCCTATGCTCATCATAAAGTTTCAGCGGTCACCCACTTGCAGCCCATCGTATTTTGTCTGTGACTCCCACCGCAGCACTCCCTGTCCTTATTTTGGAGCCGTTCTCAGGCATAGCATTTCATCCGTAAACATTTCAGTGTGTCTTTCAATATGAGAGCCTTAAAAAAGTAAAACACAAGACTATTATTATACCTAAAAATGATTGATATTTCCTAGGTATTATTAAATATCCAGTCAGGATTTATATTTCCTAATTTTCTTAATTTTTTTTTTTTACTCATTGTGTTTAAGGATACAGAATAAGGTTCATATTTTAAGATAGCTTGATTGGTATCATACAAGTCATGAACTCATAGATTGAAACATTTCATGGGTATTGACCTATTTTTCTCAGTTATTTATGAATTGTCCCAGTTTTGGTCAGTGGCTAGTATAAAAGTTTGTTTATGAAGGCTTTTGACAGGCCCCTAATGGGTTATGATAGTATCTTTACTTTTGGTGTGAAGAGGTGTTCTGGGTTCATCTTACTCATTTTCTCTTCCAGTCTTGGGAACTGGCCATTTTTCTAAGGAGCTCTGATTTTTTTTTTCTTTTTTAACTGAGCAAAGGTATTTAGAGACCACAGCCTGAGTGCTAGGGGTGCTCATTGCTACTGAGTATGTTACTGTCACTAATCTTTTCCAGTGGTCAGAGCTGGGAGGGAAAAATACATTCATAAACACATGTACATATATACATATGCATGTATATTCACACATATACACACACACGTGTATAAAGAAAATTCAAAGCTAGTATTTTCCATTTAATTCTGAACTTTTTATACACATGTGCTCACACACGCATGTACACATAGACAGGTAGGAAGACAGAATAAGAACGCAGACTAATACTTACTAGTTAATTCTGGATTATATGGTTTTTACTGTAGTTACTGTAATTGCAGGGGTCTCCATATCTCTATCTCCTTTTTTTGTGCTGAAAACTCAGCATTTTACTTACACCAACATAATTAGTTATGTGCTCTGTATGTGTGAAAATAAAAATACCACTTTTACCACAGGTAATGCTATTGCTGAGAAGAAAAGTTGAATATTTCTGCATTCTTTTCCTACTGGTT